CGCTCCTTCCAGTACTATACTCAGCACCGGTTCACCAATATGGCGGCTCACTCCTTCCGTACCAAGTCCAGGAAAACTATTGAAGGAAGGGTTGAAGGGCTGCCCGGCCCTTCTTAACCCTTTAAAGGTAGCCTCATCCACGACCCTCACACTTCTACGTCTCATAGTTACAAGTGTACCATACATCACACAACTTACAGCTTACAACGCAACAAGACCTTGACAAAAATATCGGCTTCTCCTTAACTATATATGCTTGGCCGCCCACTCTCCTTGCTCCTTGCTCCTTCTCCTTCTCCTTCGCCATCGTTCCCCACGGGGTGGGGGAGCTTAAAACTGAACATCGCAGGCGCCAATGACTCCGGGTAATGCTTGGCGGAGTCGCAATAAGTGAAAGATAAACAAAAAACGCAATAAAAAGATGGGGAAAAAAAGGCTCGGGAGAGCAAATCATTCAAGTGTGCAGCACTCATCATCCATCAACTCCCTTCCCTTTCCATCCTTCACTACCCCTCCTTTGCCCCATTGACCCCGACCCCACAATCTCCAACTCTCCAACCCAAACCCCAAAACCCAACCCCAACCGTGGCAACGCTCGAACCCACTCCGACCTCTCACTTCCACGCACTTAGTCCCGCCCAAGGATCATCGGCCTGCTGCTGATGCTGACCCCGCCCCTGCTGCCCCTCGACCGGATAGTCCTGCGACCCAAAGTGGATCGTCTGCTGCGGCCCCAGAGGCGGCGGCCCCGGCGGCGGCGGCGGCGGCACGAACCCGGGCGGTACCTGCGATGTGGGTCGCCCCTTCGCCTGGGGACCCTGCTGCTGTTGTTGCTGCTGCTGTGCCTGATACCCGCCGTACCCGTGCAGAGACTGTCCGAATGAGGTCTGCGTCGGCGGGGGGGACGCCGGTCCCCTGTACGTCGACGTACCGAACGACGTCTGTGTCGGCGGCGGGGACGCCGGGCCCGGGTTCATGCCGTACTGGCTCGGGTTATACGCCGCGGGCTGTCCGTATGAAGGCCCGCCCTGCGGCTGATACCCCGCTTGTCCCGAGAAGTTCCCGTACGTAGTCTGGTGCGCAGGCGGCGAGTTCGGCAGCGGGTACTGGCTCGCGTAGTTCACGTCCGCGTACCGCGCCGCCCCGCCGGGCGAGAAGAGTGGCGCCGGCGGCGGTCGTCGGCTCTGGTTCTGGGGCTTCGGAGACCCGGACTGCTGCTGCTGCTGCTGTGGTCCGACTGTCATCCGGTCCATGAGCTCCCGGAGCCTATCGCGCTCCATCTCCGCCTGCGACGACTGGTTCGCCGACTTCTCCTTCTCGATCTGGTTGAGCAGTTGCGCGCCCTCCGTCCGCCGGTTGTGCACGAACGACTGCACGTTCTTCTCTAGGCTCTCAACCGAGTCCTTCATCTCCGCATACCAGTTCTTGGCGCTGTGCAGCCCGGCTACGAGGTCGAGGAACTCCTGGTACGCCCGCTTGTACCGGTTCGTCACCGCCACCCTCTGCCTCTGCGCGTTCTCGTACTTGCTCTGCTCCGACCTGACCCTCTTGTCCTGGAGTAGCGTGTTGAAGGTCGCACTCAGCTCCTTCAGGAGCGCGGACTGCTTGTGGTTCGCCTGGAGCAGGCGGTTCTGGTGTGGCGCAAACTTCTCAAGCTCTGCCTGGAAGAGCTGGTTCTCGTAGTTTTGGATTGACTTCTTATTGAGGATAAGAATCTGAGATATGTCGTCGTTGTGGATCTACCGGAGGTCAGCTACTATCCTCCAGTTGTTGCCTAAGCGCCCCGGACCCCCCGAGTCCTGGACTGGGAACTGGAGACGGATACACCTACCTTTTCCTTGAGATCCTTCAGTATCTGGTTGCGCTCCCGCTTAAGAAGACTGAGCTTCTTCAAGAGATCCTCAACCCTGGCAATCTGTTCCGCGACGCTAAGCTGGCCGTCATCAAAGTCGGCGTCCAAGAGGTTCGGCTCATCCATTGGACTCCCCGAGTTGCTCGACCTGCCCCTCAGCTTGCTCACCGACCGCTGGAACAGGTTGTCCACCTCGCCCCTCTCAGATGCCGCGCGCATCTCGTCAAACTCGAGCTCGTTCTGCCTCAATTTCGCCGCTAGCTGCGCATCCGTGCGGGAGGCCTCGTCCAACGCCTCCCGGTAGCTGCGCACGTCGCCTCGAAGAGTCGTCGTCAGGCCTGCGCTAGGCTGCTGCGTCCACTCGGCCCCGTACTTCGACCGCATCTTCTCGCATACGCTCTCCTCCATGTCAAGCTCCTTCTTACAGCTGTCAAGGCCCACGACTAGCGACGCCTTCCGCCCATTCAGAGACTCTAGGAGGGTCACGGGGTTCTCCTGCGCAGCGACATCCTCGCACCAGGTCTTGAAATCATCGTCCGGTAAAACCTCCTCCTGGTCGAGGCCACCCTTGAGGACCTGGAGTGCCCCGGGAAGCCGGAGATAATCCAAGCTTGCCGCCATCTCACCATTCGCCACATCGACGCGTTCAGTTTCGGCCCTCACTAGCTTCGCCTTCTCCTCGTCGTACAGACTCGCTGACTCGGTGACGTTCATGGGGACAATCTTGGAAAACAGGTCCGGACCGGTTATCCGCTGGATATCTTGACCGGCGTAGAGTTCTGTCACGGGGATCGGTTTGGCCGCAGGTAGCTTCGGGACGGGCGACAGCCCAGCCTCCGATGGCACGGGTTGGTGGTAGATGTAGTCGTTGTCCTTTGCAAGCTCCGCTAGCTTCTCTTGCACGGACGTGAGGTGCCTCTTCGTAATATCAGCGAGTATCGCGCTGGAGTCGCTGGTAAGATTCGAGCTGGGGGGTATCGAGTTCGGGAAGGAGTTGGCAAGGCGATTCGCCTCCTTTCCGAGCCGTTCGGCGACCTGGAGTCGTCCGACAGCAACGCCGTGGTTATTGGCATCATCGTCGGCCTGCGCTTGGTAGTGCTGGGCCAAGGATCCAAGGTAACTTGCCTTCGTCTGTGCACGGATAGGGCGCGTCAGCCATCAGACAAACCGTATTAGAAGGGGGGTTCTCCAGGGGGGATGCACGCGTACCTGCACGAGAAGGAGCCAGACTTTCTCGAATATGACCCTATTCACATTATCCTGCGTCCCTTCCAGGGCCTGATCATAGAGATACGCCGCTTGGCTGGAGAGCTTGGCCAGCAACCCCACCTTCTTCTTATCCATGATCTGCTTCTCTAGGAACACCTCCGTAGCCTGGGCGAGCGCGATCTGGATAAGAGTCTTGACCGTCTCGCGACTCAGGTCGGACGAGGGCGCATGGAGGAAGTTCTCGTTGATGTACGTGAACATACCCGCCGACGCCTGGAAGGAGTGGTAGGCCATCTTGAGCCCGGATTCTTCGGAGCGGTTCTGGATCGCGGCATGGCAGGAGAGGACGGCGGAGATGTTGAATATGATGGAGGCCTTTTCGAAAGCGAGGGAGTATTGGGAGGTGGACTTGTGAGTGAAGGCATCGAACCTGCGAGGCCCCAGGGTTAGTAACCGAGAAGGGCTGGGGACTGATATGGAGCTCGCGAACGAGGTGGAGGTGGGTTTCCGAGGTGGGAATGGAGCGGGTGGCCAGGGTTCCGGGACACACTGGTAGAGGGGAGGGAGGGCAAAAATTACCATGTGAACGATATCTTGATATGCTTCTCATCGATGGGGAACCTTAGGTCCAACAGCTCAAGCTGGCCGTAGTACCTGTACAGCATGTCCCGCCCAGACGTGCTATCCTTGCCCGCGCCCCGCATATCCTGGCGCAGGCGGTTGAGGGTGGCACACTCCTCCGCATATCGTTCGGGGTCATCGCCGTATGTGTTCTGGATGTAGTTCTTTAGAGGGCCAACCCAGTCGATTTCGTTCGTCGCCTTCAGCGGCACGGATATCATAGGTGCTTGAGGCATTGTGGGAGGGGGATCTCGGCGGAGGGGGCCGAGGAGCCTTTGGGAGTGGTGGTTTGGGGGGGGGGGGATATCTGATATCGGATCAGAGCCCTACGGCGAGTTGAGTTGCGGTGGCGCGGTCGGGTCGCATAAGGGCCTCGGGACCAGGCGGCGAGGTGCAGGCGATTATGACAACGTACGTTTGGGATTGCGGGGAAAGAAAAGTGGCTGGCGAAACTGCGAAAGAGGACGAACAAAAGGGACAAACAAGGCAAAGTTAAAGTCGCTGACACCCCCTCAGGCAGCGAGGAGATGAGGTCGCACAGTGTCGGCGGGTGACGAGGCCTTTTCTACGTGACCCTCGAGCGGCGAGCGGGAGATATCGACAAAGGAGGAGGAGGATTGTCTTCTTCCTTATTAAGCTCGGAGTCGGTTCAGCCAGGCTTGGGGTGGTTCCGTGGGTACAAGTACGAGGTGCAGTGCACCTGCCGGTATGATGTATAGAACGGGGGTTGGTGGTGCTGAGAGCACAGGTACGAGGTAGAAGCGGGGTCCTCCTCAGTTTATGGTGATGAAATTGCGACCCGACGGATTGACTCAGGACATGTGATATGTCTGTTATACGAGCAGTCCCATTAATGATAAGCACGGTAATATATGCCGGTGAAGAATAAAAAAAACCCAATCCATATAGGTAGCATCACTAAGAGGGATATTTGCACGACGGGCACCCGACAGAGCGCAGGCCCGATCCCATCTCGTCGTAGCTGAGGCGCGTAACGAATCTACTCGAGGCAGCAGCATTGGGGGGTTGTGTCTAGCCGCCCACTTGGCGGGGTGGGTTGCACCTCTGATTCGGACAAGATTGGCGCATGGCTTCCTCAATGGAGGATTTACCCACGGGCCACACGCCAGAAATAGGCGCTGGGCGGGTGTTGAGACCCCCAACACGGAGCGTTCTTGGCCAACCAATGCACCTCTGCAGGGAAGTCACAGATGGTGACAGGAGCATGAGGGGAAGAGAGGGGAGAGGGAAGGCGGGGCAGAGGGCGGGCGGAGGGGCCTGCTTATACACCGCTACGCAAAGAATTCCCACCCCAACAGGCAACTTGGCCGAGCGGTCTAAGGCGCTAGACTCAAGAATTAAGTTCTCTTGCCCGCTTCTGCGGGTTGCATTCTAGTCTCGAAAGAGGCGCGCGTTCGAATCGCGCAGTTGTCACAAATTCTTTTTGGTGCTTGCATCTCGATATGATGAGGAAAAAGGGAATTGACGCCCATCGGATATACGACCGATGGGCGAACAATGAAATTATACACAATTGTTCCTGCTGATCGTTACTACCAATTTTTTTTTCTTTTTTCATATTTTCCCACCCACCGATCTATGCATCTCGTTTCTCCCATTCTTCTTTTTTATACCTCGGCGTATCTTCCCTCCCTATGTTTGTCTATCCCCAACTTATGTTCGGCACAGCGAGTGGGCACCATTGGCCCCCGAACTGAATTAACTTCTATTAGTACATTTCAGGGATGGTTCCTATATTCTATTTATATATTACAGACATAACGAGGGGAGGGGGCTTCAGGCGCGATCATCCCGATCGCACCTCCGGAAGGTCTAATCTGGTACAAGATGTAGTAGTATACAAGAGCAGAAGATCGAGCAACAAGGACATGATAGTACACGCAGAGGCATGGCATCGACTCGTAAAGAGACGAAAGACCGTGCTATCCTGCTGCCAACTCGAAGCCTCTCCGTTTCCACGATTGCCGGGGGTAAAGCCATCCTTCTGGGGACGCCGTTTTCTCCACAGACGCAAAACAGCAGTGACAAAACAGTGAGCAAAAAAACAAGTCTAGCCTTCCATAAACACCGTTCAATGCAAATCGCTAAGCCACCCCTTCCCGTATTTTCGTGACGACATCCCCACGGCAAGGGGGGACAAGGGGTCATCGGGGGTGACATCATCACGGCTTAGGCGGATCCGGATCCCGGGCCGGATGACTTCTTAGAGTCGTCCTCGCCTTTAGAGTCAGTCGAGGTGTCCTTGCCAGCGGTCGAGTCCTTATTGGCGTCCGAGTCCTTGTCCGAGGGCTTCTGATGGGCCGGGTGGTTGGTCAAAGTGTGCCAGATCGACTTCATCCACCCTTCGTTTTTGTGCGAATCAGGATCGGACGCGCTATTAGGAGGAGAGAAAACGAGTTAGTCGGACCAGCGGTGGGAAAAAAGGCGTGCAAGCAACCTCGGGTGAAAGGAGGGGTGAAAGGGATGAGGGAGCACGAAGAAGAACTTACCCCCGCGAGACATTCATGATCCTCTTCGCCGTCTTGTCCCCCATCTCCTCCGCAAACATCTCCGCCAGGACTCTCTGGTTCGCCGAGAGATACTTGGGCATGTTGATGCGGTACTCCACCTTCAGGTCACCGGAGCCTCCCCTTCCGTGCAGCTTCTTCATTCCCATCCCCGGCAGTGTGATCCGGTCGCCCGTGTTGGTGCCCGTTGCGACCTTTACCTTGACCTCGCCCGTCAGCGTCGGGATGGCGACCTCGCCGCCGAGGATCGCCGTGGGCAGGGGGATGGTGGCGGTATAGAGGATGTCGGAGCCGGCCCTGCGGAACTTGGGGTCCGCGGCAACCCGGATGAGGACGTAGAGGTCCCCCCTCTTGGACCGGACGGTCCCGTCCTCGACCTGACCCGTCGGCGGGGAGTCGCCCGCGCCGTCGATCCTGAGACGCATACCGTCCTCCACGCCCGCCGGGATATCGACGTTAATAGTCTTCTTCTGCCTCACCACCCCGTCGCCCGCACACGAGCCGCACGCCGATCCCCGCGGGATAGACGAGCCGGTCCCGCTGCACGCGGAGCACGTCGACGCCATCTGGAAGCCGCCTTGGGTGAAGTGCACCCTCGTGCCCGACCCGCCGCAGACGCCGCACGACGAGCGCTTCGCCCCGGCCTTCATGCCATTGCCGGAGCAGGTCCCGCAAGTGACGTACGGCGATATCGTAACCTTCTTACGAGTGCCCAGCGCGGCTTCCATGAAGGATATGTTCGTCTGCACCTCGATATTGTCACCGACCAGTATCTCCTGCTGGAACGGATTCCGCCCTCTCGCCTGTTGCCCGAACGGACCGCCCCCGCCGCCGAAGGCGTGGAACAGGTCGTCGAAGTTGAAGCCGCCTCCGAAGCCGCCGCGGCCTCCGCCAGTGAACGGGTTCGCGCCCCCGAACGGATCCGCGCCCGGTCCCGGGTGGCCGCCATGGGCGTCGAATCCGGCGGCGCCAAACTGGTCGTATTGCTGGCGCTTCGCGGGGTCGGAGAGGACCTCGTACGCGGACTGGATTTCCGTAAACTTCTCTTTCGCCGTGGGGTCCTTGTTCGTGTCGGGGTGGTATTTCTTGGCTAGGCCGTAGTACGCCTTCTTGATCTCGCTGGCCGTCGCGCTCTTGTTGACTCCGAGGGCCTTGTAGGGGTCTTTCGGGGGGGCGGAAAGGGTGTTGGATGCGTGGAAGGTCTAATCATCTCGCGGTGTCAGTTAGGGCAGGGGGGGGGCGGGGTGGGACAGCTCAAGGCAGAGTAGAGGGGGGGTGGATATGGCGGGCATAGGGAACTCACCCGTTTGGCGATGCAGGCGTTGGATATTACCGACCGCGGCCGGGGCCGACTTTGGCCGGTCGCGATGCTGCGAGCTTGCTGCCGTCCATGATGAATGCGCTCCTGCACCTTGGCAGCGCGGCAAGTAGAGCTATGCGTCAGGATGCGCCTGGGGAGCGCGGACTTCGTTACGAGGGTCGAATTCATTGCGTTTTTGCCGTGCTTCACCAGAAGCTCTCACGGAAATTGGGAGACTTTGGGTTCGACGTGAGCTTGTCTGTCGCACACGGTGACGCGGGACGAATACCAAAATCTTTTTTATGATGCGGATCGGTAATTCGCCAGGGAGCATTGGGTAACTAGAGGTCTCCATTGGTTTCTCGAAAATGCTGTCACGTGGAAAGCCACCTTGGTGGGCCCGCTCTACTACAAGTTCGTCCGATGTCACACTCCTTTGGAGCTTAGTCCCCTGTGAAAGACCGTTTTTACCCGACGCTTTCCCCGATACTGAGGCATCCATCGGATGAACAAGATTCGCGTTCGGGCGTCATGTTCGCGTTCGAGATGTCGCGGGCGATAGCTACTTCTCAGTTAGACAAGACAGGGCCGTGCTACGCGGAGTACATGGCCCGCCAGTAGCTACACGTGCTTATATCCCCTTACAATGCGCACCAGGAATGCGTCGTAAGATGGACTTTTGGATATGTGGGCTATGAAAGCCACCCCGGCGAATGCTGGCAGGCCAAGCAACCGCAATGCGCTAGCTTCTCTAGCGACGCCCCCCGCCACCTCGAGTAGTTCGAACTTCCCGAATTCCGGTTCTTTGTAGGTCCTGGCACTTTGGAGCAAACACAGGGTTACGCGAGATCTGGCCACTCTCGTTAAACACCAATATTCCATTCAAATGCCGCGCTCGCCGCCGGGTCTCGCATATCCTATCGATAGGCGCCATGACTAGCATAAACATGTGCTGCCTCGTATCACCAGCCCGCCCCGTGTCCGTGGTATCTGGGGTATGACCATGCCGAATGACCCCGTGCTGTGCATCCTGGGGATGTACCAAAGGGGGGGACGATCGTGGTATATAAAGATGACTCCAACCCGCCTCCTGTAACGCCGTAACGATAAAGTTCCCAAAGAAAGAAAGAAAAGAAGAAGAAAAAAAAACAGAGAATAAGGTTCCACCCCACATGCCGCGGCGATAGCGTTTCCAAAACCATGCTAAGCCCAAGCCCAAGCCGAAGAGAAAGAAAAAAAAAGAATGCCACCGGTGAATATCGACTCCCAGCGGTCTTACCTATGACCCCTCGGCGGGGGATCTCGCCGCCTTCTTATCGCCGCGATCGTGAATTGCGTGTATCAAATCGACGATGACGTCGTTCTCCTGAACACCGATACTGTTGAAGTGCTTCCGGACCGCGAGCGCGAGCTGCTCCTTCGTCTGCCGCTGCTGCTGCCGTTTCCGGCGGGCCATCGTCGGAGATTGGTGGCCGATGCCCGCCGCCCGCGCGAAGACGAAGTGGCGGTAGGACTCTTCAAAGGCGAAGGGAGTGTCGAGATTATACTCGCGGCAGTAGGCGTGGAGGAATTTGCGGTCGAGGTTGTGCCACTGGACCTGTTCCGGGCGGGGGCGAAATGTCAGCCGCGTCTTGGGCAGAAAAGGGGGGAAGAGGAGGCGACGGGGACGGCGTAAGAGGCACTCGGGCCGGGGAGTGGACGGGCGGGAGGGGGAGGAGGACTCACACTGACGGGTTCTTGCGGTGTTGTGGGCTGGGCTGGAGCGGAGTTGGCTTGCTGGTCTCGCGCGGCCTGCTGCTGGCTCGCTACGCGGCGCATCTTGCCATTTGTGTTCTGTGGGCCCAAAGCACCTGACTTGTCCTTTTCCTTATTGTCCTTGTCGTCATTCGCCGCCGCGTTCCGCGAGGACTTTGTGGGTGCCATCGGAATGACTAGGTGGGAAGGGGGTCGGGGTTCGACGCAAGCGGGGACCAAGGGCGGCAATCGTGTTCGGCGTCGAGAGGAGTTAGGACGGCGGTACCAAAGCGATTTCGAGTTTGGGTGGTTAACTTCTTGTAAAAAGAGAAGAGAGGGCTTCGCAGGCGAGGACGATGAATCACGAAAAGGTAGTAGCTTGTGGGGTTGAAAAGTCACATTGTCGAAAGAGTGGTTCGCGCGCTGTGGCTTGGGTCGTCCGACGGGATTCAATCGGGGGTTCGGGGCGCCTTGGATAAAGGGTGGAAATTTGAGCTGTGGGAAGTGCTCATGCTCCGACGTCACTTCCTGTACACTAGACCAATTAAACCGTTTCTGGTGCTTAGCCTCTCGCCGGGTATACAAATTGCAAAGTATTGGGGGTAATATCTGCTGCCAACCGGTGACATCGGTTCAATGTCGGCATATTTTAAGGGTCCAGGGAGAGCTCTCAACCAACGAAGGGCGGCCCTTCAGTTTCCCCCACCCCGCCCCCGCCCCCACCGACCCGCACAATATAACAACAGAATGCTTCAAGTATAAGGATGTCTGTGGCCATGATAGTTTTCTACCCCGAATTTAAGCTTTATTCGCGCCCAGGTTTGCTTCCGGATCTGAGAATGCGAATGAAACGGTCTATCATGCCATGAGGC